AGAAGGGCAGTTGCATGCATGAACTCAGTGACTGTGACAGCATGCTTAAGACCTGTACAAGCTCGAACCAGACACAATCTCAGCAGAGAAGGTGAGCACAAAATCCCACCACCAGCTCAGGAGCTTTTGTCATCTGATAGCTTCGGGGAGAGGGACAGGCCATTTCCTTTACCTGTGTGACCCTTGGTGGGTAGAACACACAGCAGGGCAGGTCAAGACAAGCTAGGAAAAAAACAAAATGGGTTTTGATGGGCATGGGGGGGTGGAGGATTAGAAAATTCTAGGTTGAGTGGGAAGGAATGGGGGGAGTGAAGAAGGTGGTTATGGGAAGAGTTGGGGGAGGGGGAGGGAATGTGTTCAAGAAACATTGTATGAAATTCTCAAAGAATCAGTAAAAGTGTTAAAACATTTGACAATTTCATACAGGAACATAATGGAGTTTGATTGTGTTCAGCCTTCCATTAGCCTTCCTCCTCCTCTCACTGAAAACTGTCTTCTAAACTATTTTCATGTCTTTGTATGTGTTTGACCCATTGAGTGTGATCGTGGTGGCTTGAACCAGCATCAGTGGGGGTATACTTACTAGATCTTCTTCTCAGTGGCTATCCCATAGAATAGCACCATACTCCCTCTACTAGCATCCATTAACTTCCCATAGTCTCTTCATGGGGAGTGTGGGGCATCATCTGCCCCTTCCATGTGCATGTCCAGTCTTGAATAGGTCACTGCAGTTGCAATGAATTTATGGATGCAATGTCATGTCTGGAAGACACTGTTTCACAGCACTTCTCCCCATCCTGTGGCTGCTCCAGTCTTGACAGCTTGTTTGGAGGTTCCAGCAGGGGAACATAGTTGCTCAAATTTGACTGAAGAATGTCTCAGTTTCATTTCTATTGCTGTTAAGAGACACCATGACGAAGGCATCTTATAAAAGAAAGTAGTTAATTTGGGGACTCACTGTTCCAGAAGGTTGAAGTCCAAAGTCATGAGGCAGGGAACATGGAGCAGTTGCTGAAAGCTTACGTGTTAAGAAGACAACCATAGGCAGGGGGAGGGGGAGGGGGGATAAGGAGAATGATAATTGATAATGGCATGTGTAGGAACCCATCTTTGGGGGGCTTCAGTCAGATCTAGCCAACTTGCTGGGTTCGTACCTGAGGCAGGGTGTGGATTGAGAAACGGCAGGTAGAAAATTTAAAGGTACTAAGGAAAAGACAGACACAGAATAGTCAGGAGGGCATTCCAGTGAATACTGAACCAACCCAAGTTTATTTCTCAAAATTCTTGTATACCCAACCAAAAAGAGGGAAAAGGAAAAAGATTTCTTTACCATGATACAAGGAAGAAGCATACTTTCTTCCTTAATTCTCCAAACATTTAGTAACCACACCTTAGACCAAATCTCTGGTTATCTGACCTTGAGGATTAAGAGTAACCACACCTCCGGGCATTGGTGGTGCACGCCTTTAATCCAAGTGCTTAGGAGGCAGAGGCAAGTGGATCTCTGTGAGTTCAAGGCCAGTCTGGTCTACAGAGTGAGTTCCAGGACAACTTCCAAAGGGATACAAAGAAACCCTGTCTCGAAAAACCAAAAATAAATAAATAAAGAGTAACCACGTCTTAGACCCATATCTTGTTATCTAGGTAAGACAACCATACCTTAGACCAAGAATCCTTCAGTAGCCACAGCTTAGGATTTTGGGTCTTATGACTTTAACCTTGAAAGAGTAAGGACAGTTTTGACCTCTCTGACCTTGAGTCAAAATGAAGCAGAGCCATTTCTATGGGCCCTGACAGGCATGGGCTTTTTAAACTTCAAAGCCGGACCCCCCCCCCCCCCCCCCCCCCACCCCCCCGCCCGCAGCACACTTCAACACTTCTTCCTAATCCTGCCCTAATAGTTTCATCAACTAGGAACCAAGCATCCAAATTTATGAGCCTATGGGAGTCATTCTCATTCAAACTACCATACTGATCTTCCTTTATTCCAGAAAGGTCTCCTTCTGTCAAGGGTACAGCTTAGAGAGGGACACACGTGGAGCTACAAAAAAGGTAACCCTGTCCTAAACAGCCAGACCAGCTGAATACAACCAATGGGCAGATGTCAAAACCAGATGACCCTCACATCCATGGCTCTTCCATTCTGCTCCCATTTTCCTTAATTTTCCTTGAGCATTGGAGAGGGTCATACAGATGTCCTGTTCAAGGCCAGGCATCCCACTGCCATTTATTCTCAGTACTTTGATGAGTTGTTTCTACTGAAAACATTGTATGGAGGTCTTTATTCTAGGGATGGGCACCCATAACACCACATGGGGTATTTTATTACAGAGCTTCTGTCCATTTTTGTCCATAAAAGGTGACATTCCCTTTTGTCTCTTCCATCTCATTAGTGACTATCTGTTTTGCATATTTAACTTCCCCCTTGACTATAGGGGGTGGGAATGAGCTATGAGGGTTAGGGAGGGAAGCTGGACTTCTCCAAGTATACTTTCTGGTGTAGTTCTGCCTTTGGGACTTCATCAGCATCACGTATGTCAGGAATGCACTACAGAGTAAAGAAGGCCAGGGAAGAAATTCCAACTACTAAACAAACCTGAAACCCACTGAATATCAATAGTATATTCAGAAGAAACAAAAAGTGCTCAGATGCAACCATAAACTCTGCAAAGGCAGCTACTGTTTATAGTAATACTGGCTCAACATAGTGTACTTCCCAAATTGTATGAGACAGTCAGCACAGTGATGTTGAAACCAGGGTTCTCCAGGTGAAGGCAGGAGACACAAGGAGAAGAAGAACTCTGTGGTACTGCTTTGGAATTATAGGTCTCTACCAATTTAGGAATTGTAAAGAACCTTTTCCTGGCTGGGCATGGTGTTGTGCACCTTAATCCAGGCACAAGGGAGGCAGAGACAAGAGGATCCTTGTAAATTCAAGGTCAGACTGATATATAGAATTCCTGGATGGCCAGGGCTGCATAGACACTGTCAAAAGATCAAAAAACAAACAACCCCCCAAAACAAAACAAAAAAACAAAACCCTCTTTTCTCCTCACTTCTGTCCACTACATGATTCTGACTGGCAGTATATTAGGTGCTACTGCTACTGTGTTAAAAGGGCCACCCTCACAACTATCATATTCTAAGGCAGCTGGAGAGAATGAGACTAGAAAGTGTATTATAAACTTCTCTGCGTGGGTTCTCCATGCATCAGTCTACATTAGTTACTAGCATTCTTCCCCCAGTTCTAGATGTCTTCAGTGTAGGGAGGTGATGAAGAACTCGAATTATTGCCTTCGTTTTGGAACCCATGCATTTTTCTTGTGCCTACTGTTTCATTCTTTCTTCCTTTCTTTTTTGTTTGTTCTTTTGAGACATGGTCTACTACACTATGTAGACCAGGCTTGTCTTGAACTCACAGAGATCCTCTTGCAAGTGCTGAGATGTGGCGCTACCTTTAGTTAAATGCAGTTTCTTTAGGGTTCATCATAGCCAGCCACCTTGGTAGGAATTTCCTTAGTTGCTTCAGGGACAAGTGGGGATAATGGTTTCCTTGAGTTGTATAGCTGGATGCGGTGTTGAATGCCAGTAGGCCTGGCACTCTGGAGGATGAGGCAGAAGACTGTTGTGAATTCAAACCCAGCTTGGGCTACATAGTGAATACCAGACCAACCATAGTTACAGAGAAAGACCCTATCAAAACCCACCCCACCCCCTGCCAGGGGTGGAGGGAAAAAGGCTTTGTGTAGACTCCATCCTCCAGATTGGATCCTGTCCTCCTTATGCTGGGATGTAGCTGCCCATGGCCAGACTAAGCCCTTCTCTGTAGAAGAGTGGATTCCTTTCTTGGTGAAGGCATAGAGGTGGATGCAAAACTTTAGAATTCAAATTAATTCCCAGACTATGACTAGTGTTCTGGAACAAATTTTCTCTTCTGGAAGAGGAAGCAAAGTGAAGTGTTGACAACAGTGTGCAACCAAACACAACTTGTTTACAAATATCTTTTACCTAAATGCAACCCTCAATCACAAAGTATAAGGAGGAAAGGCATGAGACACGTCTGCAAAAAATTCATCTCCACTACAAACAGCTTTACTTGGGGGCTTTCTTGGGGTGAGGTGTTTCTCATAAATGTTTGCCAACACATACAAGGGGCCTCACCATGACACTGAAGGGAAATGAGGAATTGCTCTGAGAACAGTTGGTCCTCCAGGGAAAGAGCGGTAAAAACTCCTAGAGTTAACAGCGGCATCCTGCCATGGTTAGGGAACAGAAGAGTTAGTGACCCCTCCCAAATGGTTAGCACTAATCAGGTATACACATTGAATGGGGAGGTAGAAGTAGCAGGCTGGATAACCCCTTGGGTGAGTGTCACCAGAACAGGGGTGGTGGTGTGACTAAGTCAAAGCTGGACAGAGAATGACTGAGCAGAAATGTTTGAGAGAAGAGAGACCAGGTTTCCCAGGGAGGGCCACACAGCAGGGTGCTGCGGATGGGAGCAGTCTTGGGCTCTTCTATTGCTTAGTGCACTAAACAGGCTCCACAGTTTTCACATGGTCAAAGTTACACATGGAGCAGAGTGAGATGGGTTTGAGCTTCTGTCAGCACCCCTGAAGGGTCATCACTGATGGTATAGATTTGGAGGCTGAGTACCAAGAGGAAGGGTTTGAAGGGAAGGAGCAACCCAGCAGTGGCATTAATTTCCTGAAATACTCAGCCACAAGCTGGGCAGGGTCACCTCCTCTGGCTTTCAGTATCAGGGAGGGCATCCCTAATGCTCCAGTCTTGGGCTCAGCAGGTCCCTCAGGCACTTGCTTTGTTTAAACGGGGGCTGTGTGAGGATGGATAAAATCCTACCTCATGGTGCCTAATAATGCATGCGGAACTATTGTTATTTGGAAATCTTACTTTATCTCGGTCTGGAATCATGGGAAAATGTGGAGATGGAAAGCTATCAGTGGGGGAGGGTGTGTTAATCAGAAGGGAGAGTAAAGGTGAACCCACAAAAAAAATTTTAGTTTGTGCCTTAGCCAAAAGACACAAAAAGAAAGTGCCTCAGCCAAGGACCTCAGGAAAGGGACCTAAGGTCTTCTCAAGCAGGCAGTCTGCAGAGCTGGGAGGGCAGGATCCTTCTTTCTTTCTCTTTTTTCTTCTTTCTTTCTTAAGCAACAATTGGTCTATCCAAGGTTGGTCAGAGCATCCAAGTAAGTGTAACTAGAGGGTCTTAGACAGGTTTCTATGACGGACACTGCCTAGAACAGAGTGGTCATCACCAAAACCAGGACCCACAGAAAGGAGAGTTTGAGAAAATAGAAGAAACATCATATCTCCTTTAATTGTGTTTTTGGCGCTTTGGTCTGTAAGCAACCAGGATGGAAAGAGAAGAGAAGCCTAAGAGGAAAGTCTGTAGGAACCAGAGGAGCCGGGCCTGGCCATCTGTGATTCCTTTATGCCTGAAAAAAAGCAAATTTAAACAGAATTTTAATGTTGGTACCAGGGGTTTTTGTATTCTACTTTTAGTTCTATTTAGAATTCTGAGGTGCAATGTATGAGGATCTGGTTTGGGGGCTTCTAATTTATATCAAACCACAGAGTCATTTGAGGAGCTTTAGGAAGGAACATATACCTATGTCTGAAGCAAGGCCTAGTAGGTCAGAGTCTCTGGAAACCAGGCATGTATATTTCAAAACAGCTCCCATATGATTCTGTTTTGAAACTAGATTGGAAACCACCAGCCCAGACCAGTTACTCAGTTCTTTTGCAAACTAGAAGACAGACTCCTAGCCATTTGTTCTAGTCAGTTAGACACAATTTTTGAAACACAGCAAAAGTATCAACTAAATAATTAATTAGACAACACAAGCAAACCAGACTCATTCATCAAACATTTACTGAATACTTCTGTTGCAGGCTCAGTATTAGGTATAGGGATTCAGGCTGCACTTGAGTATGTTCTCAGCCTAAAAGTATATAAATTATTTAGACATGGCAGTTCATGAGCTACCAAGATAAAAGTGAGATGGTCCTACTACAAAGTTCCTGTTACAAAGACTTACTTGCATAATACCATGGCATAAAAGGACTCTCCCAGATGAATTAGCCAAGCAAGCCAATACCTGAAACCAAAAAAATATATATTTTTTTAGTTTAAGGTTATAGTCATTTGCTAATTAACTCTAACATAGAGACTTTAAAAAGAAAGGCACCTTGAGAAACCCTGTCTCAACAACCCCCCCCCCAGCAAAAAAAGGGCATCTTCATGCAAACTAGCATTTCTGTTAGCTACCCAACGGTAACTGCAGGCCTTCCAGGCACCCAGATAGCCTGGAGCTGCAGTGTCCATAAAGTTCCATTCCTTACCCATTCCTTAGGAGGGTGTGATGGTGGTCCACCAAGTACTTTGTAAAGGAACCCAGGGGACCAAGGCTCTGATAAGGGATGTTTTGAGGCCAGAAGACAACCCACTGAAAGAAAACCAGAGACACAGAATTGGTCCAGTAAATGGTTCTATTTGAAAGCAGTTGTGGAACAATAATGATTCTACAAAAACAACTACAGACCAAAGAAGCTGAACAAATCATCCAATCCTCCAGCCCCAACTTTTACTCCTGAGTAACAACTTAATTGTGAGATGTATGCAACAGAAATATGCTTATCAGTGTCCAGGGTTTTACTGGACATCTTAAAGGATGTCAGTAAAATGTTTTATAGGTTATTAGCTATTTGTTCTAAAGAATTTGCATGCTTTGGCTAGGCTGCAGAAGTTACGGCTGGAGCCTATCTCCCATTTAATCTAGAACTGCTTCTTTTACCAAAACCCAAAAGATAGATAGATAGACAGACAGACAGACAGACAGACTCTTCTTGAGAATTATTACACACCAACACTTGCAAATTTTAAAGTCCTGTACATTTTTGTCAAGGACACCACTACCTCTTCCTTGGTGTTACTTCACAGGCAAGTTCAAATGAACTTTATATTGTAACTGCATCTTTCCAAACCAAGGGAACTAAAGGGTTTTAGCTGCCATCTCCATAATATCTGTTTGAACTAGAAAAACCGTCTTCCCTTCTATATGCTAACTCACCAGACACAGGGGACCTTAGAAAAGAAATGTATCCTTGAAACTTTTCAATTCATGCCTCTCTGAATGTGGTAAGATTAGGACAGGGGTGATCACACTTGACACCAGCACTTGACACTGAGGGCATGACAATCCTAGGGTCTCCTGGAGTATCTAAATAGCATTTCTTCATATTTCCCAACATCTTTCTCGTTATTCTTTAAACAAACTCTTTCTCAAATGGACAAAAGTTACTCTTCCTCTTTAACGCTGTCTTCTCCCACACCCAGTTATATGCTCTCCCTCTTACCAGTTAAACCCTACCCATGCATTAGGTTTATTCTCATTTTCCAAGCAATTCAAAGTTATTCACTCTTCTTCGAGTTTTATCCTAAGTTGTTAGGTCTACGGCAATATACTAACTTCACTCCTCGCTTTCCCAAACCTCAACGACAGTGGAGGCAGAGGACGCTGGGACCGGAACACACATCAACTAGAAAACCCCCAGAGCCCACCGAACTTCCGCGTACAACAGTAACCTAGGTAACTGCTGTGCGCGTGCGCAGAAGTCCTGTTTCCCCCCCCACACACACATCTCCCCCCGACCGGGTGCACTTCGCCCTCCAGGGTCTGGGGGTCAGAGCAGCCCGCAAGTCTCAAGCCTCACCGTGAAGTAGCCCAGCCCCAGAGCGGTGACCAGCGAGAGCCAGGGGCTGGCTGCACGGAAGTATGCAGTGGCGTCCCTACGGGCCTCCGACATCGCCACCACCATCTCGAGAGCCCGAAGCACTGAGTTGTGGGGCAAGAACCGCCTCCCACGCTCGTCCACACAGGGAGAGCCTGACGAGCCGGTTTCCCAGGCTTAGCTCTGGCAGGCCAGTGCGCCTGCGCGGCCCGTGTCTGCCGCTTGCGGGCATTACCGTGTAGTAGCTGAAGGAGACGGTGATGACTGTCAACCAGAACAGGCTCCCCCTCTGGAAGTAGCCTGTACCTGTGGCGGTCCCCATCGCTGCAGCGACTCCGCTGGACCTGTCTCTTGAATCTGGTGAATGGGGCGAGCGGCTTCCTGTGCACCAGACCCAGAAGGTTTTGGGTACGGTGACCCCTGGAGCCCGGTGCAGGAGGCACCTCCCCTTTTCAGCTAGAGTAGCTGCGGTTTTGCTGCCCTGATAATGGCGAGTCCATTTTCCGAGCCATTTCAGTGACTTGTACGTGGTGTACTGTATTGCGCCGCCTCCTCCTTTGTTCAGTAAGGAGACACTCAGTTCAGTGGGTGGAGCAAAACACAGCGGCGGCCTTTGGAATCAGGCTATCCCCATGTCTACCACTTTTTCTGTAAGCTTAACATGGTTTCTTAGCCCATTCGTGTTTTCAATCTATCTGTAAAACGGTCATATGTTAGCCCAGCTCGAGGTTTGGGGTTTATTTAAAAAGAAAGCATTAAATTTGTGACCCGTACTGCTTACCAAATATCAGTAGTTAATACTGTTAACTCTACTTCCTGACCAAAAATATTAGACTTTGGCGTAGGCATTGGCCCCCATGCTTAGTTGAATCTTCAGTGTGTGGTGGGAGACATGGGGGTACCCAACTGTTTGGATTGTGCGTCTTCAGAGAAAGACAAGTTTTGCTTGAGCCTAAGAATTGAATTAAAATAACTTGATGGTGGCTCCTGTTTGTATCCCAGAACTTGGAAGGCAGAAGAGGAGGATTGCTATGAGATGGAGGCCTCAGCGGACAGTTTAGTGAGATCCAGGCCAGTCAAAATAATAATGTCCCCAAGGAGCTGTGGCTGTGGCTCAGACAGTAAATAGAGTATTTGCCGAAAAAGCAGAAAGCCCTGGGTTCTGTCTTCAGCACCAAATGAGCAGGTGTGGGTGTGGCCCAAACCTCTAACCCCAACACCCAGGAAGGTCTTCAGATACACAATGAGTTCTGACCAGGTCGGACTGCATGACACCAACACCCAACTGTAAAAAAACGAACCAAACAATACATGACAGCACATACCTGTAATTCAAGGAATGGGGAGGTGGGGGCAACTCCTGCCTCAAGACCCTGTCTCAAAAATGCACTAATAGCTGGCATTGAGAGTTTATAAACTACAGTACAAGGTCTAGTTTGTTTAATCCTCAACGTATTTTTAGGCAGTACACAGGTTTATTTATTTATTTGAAACAGGGTTTCTCTGTATTGCTTTGGAGCCTGTCCTGTAACCTGATCTGTAGACCAGGCTGACCTTCAACTCACAGAGATCTGCCTGCCTCTGACTGCCAAGTGCTGGGATGAAAGGTGTGCACCACCAACACCTGGCAGTACACAGGCTTTTTGTTTGTTTTTTTGAGACAAGGTTTCTCTGCAGTTTTGGAGCCTGTCCTAGAACTTGCTCTGTAGACCAGGCTGGCCTTGAACTCAGAGATCCACCTGCCTCTGCCTCCCACAGAGTACTGGGAAGAAAGGCCTGTGACACCACCACAGCACAGCCACCATTTTTATATGAACAGTAGCAGGCACACAGAGAGGTGCCCAGTGTCCTGTAATGGACGTCGAGTAGGGAATATAAAAGCCAAGTAGTCCAGGCTGTGTGAGATGGATATTCTCAGCCCAGGCTCCCTTTCCTCATTTTTTTTTTTTTCAACATGTCTTGAGCAGTAGTATTCTGAAGAAGGAATTCCAGAGGCTGTGTTGCAATCCATCCCCCAGATAAACCATAGTGCACAGAGACATCAAACTTATCAGTTACAGAAGTGATATAGAGGCAAGAGATCTAGGAGTTCAAGTCCAGCCTGAGTTACCCTACGTCAGGTTCAGAAAAACCCAAGCCATGTGTAGGGTGCCTGTTTGTGATCCTAGCACTTGGGAGGTGGAAGAAGGAGATTCAAAGTGGAAGGCCAGCTTCAAATATGGAATTCCCCGATCCAAATGATCTGACACCTTGGTCTCCTGTGCACAGACTTGTGCACACCTGCATACACACACACACACACATATTTGGGGCTTTTAAGATGTCTTAGTAAAACTTGACAACCTGAATTTTTTTAATTAAAAACCCTGTGTTTTCTTTTCTTTCTTTCTCTTTTTCTTTTCTTTTTTTTTTTTTTTTTGTGTGTTTGTTTTTCCAGACAGGGTTTCTCTGTGGCTTTGGAGGATGTCCTGGAGCTAGCTCTTGTAGACCAGGTTGGTCTCAAACTCACAGACATCCACCTGCCTCTGCCTCCCACCTAGTGCTGGGACTAAAGGCATGCACCACCATTGCCCAGCTAAACATATATTTTCTGTTTCCTCCATTTCATTTCACTGCAAACTTCCGTTCATTGTCAGAGAAAACTTAGCACACTGAGTTTTTGTTATGTCTGGGACTCCAGACCCCCCTCCCCCCAAACACAACCTAGTGTTTGAACTTCACCAAGCTCTGGTCCTGGTAAACTGCTTGGTGTTTCCCAACCCCACACCCCTTATCCCCTTATCATGGCACAGCCCACAGCCCAAGAACCTGACTGTTAAGTGTGCTGGCTAGTTTTATGTCAATTTAACAAGGTAAGGCCATCCCAGAAGAAGAAATCTGAAGTAAATGCCTCTATAGGGCTGTCATGTCTGTGGGACATTTTCTTGAATGACAATTGATGTGGGAGGGCACAGCCAATTGTGGTCCATGTTATCCCTGGGCAGGTGGTCCTGGGGTGTGTAAGAAAACAAATTAGGCAAATTCAGAAAGAATCTGTAAAGCCGATAAGCAGACTCTCCATGGCCCCTGCATCCATTCCTGTCCTGACTTCCCGACTTCCCTCAGTGATGGAGCGTGACCTGAGAGTTCTAAGCTGAAATACGGGCCTCACCCCCCCATACCCCCTTGTGATTTTGGTCTTTATTGAAGCAGTGGAAGTCTGTAGCGAGACAGCTTTCACATATAGGACATCCTGAACTGTGTACCCAGAGAATCCAGTTGATGAGAAAGGCTTCGTTTCCCCAACCTGCCCATCCTCTGCAGCAGATTCCAACTTCCCGTCCTCAAGGCACCCTGCCTGCTGTTACCTCTGAGTCGGTAGAGGGTCTCACACTTGCAGACTTTCTCTTTTCTGGCTATGTTAATGACCGGCATATGGAAAACTACAAGGGGAATAGAGGTGAGTAATTTCACCATCCGTAGGAGGGAGGAAGAAAAACTCTTAGCAAATATTAAAAAGCAACATAGAGAGATGAAAATGAAGGGAGCAGAGTTTAAAACTTAGTGTCAAGTCTCAAAGAAACCCAAGACGAGGCTCACTCCATACCTGTGGCTCCTCCCAGCCCCCTACCCTAAACCTCTCCAGCCCAGGGGCTGGCTGGGCTTCGCTTCCCTTCCCCCAACTTTTCATACCGATATCAACTTGCCTTTCCCGCCATGCATTCTCTTGGTCCTTGACTGCTCTCTTGGTCCACTTGTCCCCCACCACTCATGGCCCGATTGGGTTTAGTCTGGACTCTTTCAGGTGCCTCACACTGAACTCTCTCTCATATCTACAATCCTAAAATCCTCTTCCTCAATCATATCGAGTCAGTCATGTCCTCATTTTCATTCACTTAGTGCAGTGGCACATTGTAATTGCAGGGCTTGGAAAGTAGAGGTGTGAGGATCAGGAGTTCAAGGTCATTCTTGGCTAGGTAGCGAATTTGAGGTTAGCATAGGCTACATGACTCTTGTTTCAAAAAACCTGGGGGGAGGAGCTGGACAGGGACACAGCTTTAATCCCAGCACTTGAGAGTTCAAGGCCAGCCTGGTCTACAGAGTTACAGGACAGCCAGGGCAACACAGAAACTCTGTCTCAAAAACTACCCCCTCCCTAAAACAAAACCAAACTTTGGGGAAATTATCTAGATGGCTGGGTGGGTAAAGGTGCCTATTGCTAGGCCTTACCTGGAACCCACATGGTGGAAGCAGTGAATGGGCTCCCAGAGTTATTCTATTTTTTTGTTTGTTTGTTTTGTTTTCTGAGATAGGGTCTCTCTGTGTAGTCCTGGCTGTCCTGGAACTAATTCTGTAGACCAGGGTGGCCTTGAACTCTCAAGAGATATGATTGCCTCTGCCTCTTGAGTGCTGGGATTATTCCACCATCAGAAATATTTTTTTTATTATTATTAAAAAGATCTCCCCGCTGGGTGATGGTGGTACACGCCTTTAGTCCCAGCATTCGGGAGGCAGAGGCAGGCGATCTCTGTGAGTTCAAGACCAGCCTGGTCTACAGAGTTCCAGGGCATCCTCCAAAGCCACAGAGAAACCCTGCCTTGAAACCTGTGCCCCCCCACCCCAAAAAGATCTCTCCAAACCCAAACAATAAAAAAATCCCCTTTATCTTATGAAAGGCACTTTAAAGTTGAAAAACAAGGATATATTCAACATTCACAGTGGATAAAAGAGCAAAGGTCACATGAAACTGAGCATCCTCAGACAACTTGACTGGGATAGAAAAATTAAAAGATACCCAAAGGTAATGACCACTTACTATATGTAAAACAAAGCAAAACTATGCTACAGGTAGCTGGGCATGATAGCACATACCTATAATTCTAGAACTCTGGAGGTGAAGGCGGGAAGATGGAGCAAGTGAAGTCATCCTGGGCTGTATAGTGGACCTTATCTCACAAACCAAATATAATACCCAGAGGATTCCCTTGGTAATTGACATGCAAAAAGATAAATGGAAAACAATAATTCCAGACAGATCTCATATGTATTTAAGTATTGATTTTATGGATGTGACACTTCAAATTAAAAGAGAATATAAAATGAGTGAGCCATCAAATGATTCTGGAACAATTAGTTACCTATTGGGGTGGGGAAGGAACAAACACATGCTGAACTCTCCTCCCAAACCCAAATACTCAAATGTGGCTGCACCAAATAGGCCACAGAGATGAATCGCTCCTCTCTGCCATCCCTGAGGAGTGTGATGCAGGTAGGACAGTGGAATCGGCCTAGCATAGGGGCATCCGGGGAGGTCAGATGTAACTCACTCTTCCATTCAGCAGCCGGAGAAACAGAATGCAGACTTCGCTACTGCGATAGCCTGTAAAATCAAGGTGTCTCCCATCCCATCCAGCATCCCAAGTCCCCAAACATTTTTTTTTTAAACCTAGTGTTCATAACTAATGTTCTTCATGCTATCCCTAAGGAGCTTACCATCCATGGTATGTCTGAGAGGTGAACTTCATTATAATACCAAAATCGTCCAGGGGAGAGCAGAAGCCGTCTATAACATGGCAA